CGATATAGCCATGTCCGTCTGTCCGTCCGTCCGTCTGTATGAGTGCGTCGATCTCTTAAGATACGAAAGCTAGAGAGCTGAAATATTGTGTGCATACTCGTATATACCATACGCAGTACGAGTTTGCTTTATTTTTTCGATAACTCATCTGATAACTTTTTTATCGAGAATAATCGAAAAATTGACTTCAAATTTACTGTGTATATACATATGATGAATACAAACATTTTGTAATTTCGCCCCCAATTTGTAAAAACGCGGTTAGCAGAGCGCGTTGTTGTACGTGCATGTGGATGCATGTGTATGCGTGTATATGTGCATAAAAGAATTACAGAATGATTAGAATATCAGATTAGAGAGTTCAGGGTATCTCCTAGTCGAGCAGTCTCGACTAGAGCCTTCTTACTTGTTTAAATACGCATTGTGTTTATCAAAGCAGACAAAAATTAATTTTATAAATATTTTAGCTGAAAGTTTGGAGTTCATAATGGCATGTTTGGCTTTACAAATGATATATACAACACTCATCATCAGCAAGTTTTTAATCCCTTTATCAATAGTGTTATATCCCAGTTCGCGCAATTAATTGCTTAGACTATGTAGCAAATTAAATGTAAATTATCGATTGATAATGCAAAACACAATTTAGTCACAATCTTTATTTGGGGTCTTGCTGAAACGCACTTCATCCATATGAGCGAAGGTACAGACGGAAAATCGATAGGTCATCATCATCAAGATTTCCTGATTTCCCATTTTTAACGGATTCAGCGTATTATATCTAATAATCTTAAGATTACAGAACATTTTCTATAAACATTGAATAATTTAAGCAACGTGTTACAGGTCAAATGGTTTATATGGAAAATTGGCGAATGATAATGTTCCTGGGCACTCCAGTAATGCCGGATCTCACGTCCCTTATCACAACTGGACTCTACATTAACGATCTGTCCATGCACGACTTCAGCAGAGATCTCATGCTGGCAGGCACACAACAATCCGTGGAACTGAAATTAGCCTTGGACCAGGAGCAGCAAAAGTCCAAGAAACTGGAGGAGTCTATGCGAAAGCTGGACGAGGAAATGCGACGCACCGATGAGCTCCTATATCAAATGATACCCAAGCAGGTGGCGGATCGTTTGAGACGCGGCGAGAATCCCATAGATACCTGTGAGGTGAGATAGCTTTAAGAGTACTCTCACGTGCAGATTATGTGAAAGTAATATGAGTATCCATCCAAATGCAGATGTTCGACAGTGTGTCCATATTATTCTCGGACATAGTTACGTTTACGGAGATTTGCAGTCGCATTACGCCCATGGAAGTGGTATCGATGCTGAATGCCATGTACTCAATCTTCGATACGCTCACCGAGCGCAATTCGGTCTACAAGGTGGAAACAATTGGTGATGCGTACATGGTAGTGGCTGGAGCACCCGACAAGGATGCGAATCATGCCGAAAGAGTCTGTGATATGGCGCTGGATATGGTTGATGCCATAACCGATCTGAAGGACCCTTCGACGGGACAGCACTTGAGAATTCGTAAGACCATTTCATCTTTTATAAGAGACCATGCATTCCGTATATCTCACACGTTCCTCTTGTTCGTTCGGAGTAGGCGTGGGCGTTCATTCGGGCGCAGTTGTCGCCGGCATTGTGGGCCTGAAAATGCCACGGTATTGCCTGTTCGGCGACAGCGTTAATACCGCCTCCCGAATGGAGTCCACCAGCATCGCCATGAAGGTGCACATATCAGAGTCCACAAAGGTGCTGATTGGACCCAGCTACAAGATACTCGAGCGCGGCGAGATCGATGTCAAGGGCAAGGGCACCATGAAGACCTACTGGCTGGAGGACCGTGAGAATCGCCTGCCGCTGCAGCTCACCTCTGGACTGCAGCTGAATCCCATGTCCGCGGCACCGCCGCTTACACCCATACCCAAGGCCATTCTGCCTTCGTCCAAGCCACAGACACCCAATGCAGCGCCGTCAACCGAAGCACCGCCGGCGGCTATGTCGAATGTGGTGTTGGGAGCAAGCGGTGCCTTGGTGGCTGCCTCGGCTCTGACTCATCATGCTGGAGGCACCGGAACGTCTGCAGCTGATGAGCGGAGCAGTCGCATCTACTCGCCGGTTACTTTTAAGGACGTGGCCAGGAGAAGCATCGCCAATTCACCAGTGCGGACGAGCGCCTGCTATCCAGAGCAGAATAAGCGCCGCGAATCCCGTTCCAATTCCACTGGTCACGTTTTCATGCGCTCGCCCAGCGACATCTTCGGCTCGCTTATACTCGACACTGAGGAGTTTCTCGAGGACTTGCAGAGCTCCCGAGGTCCACTCACCGGCAATAGCAACAATAACTGTGAGTCGCCATGTGGCTTCAGTAGTCCCACGCCGCCCTTCCGCATCGGCAGTGCGCCGCCCAAGCCACGTCCCAGTAATCCGGACAAGTTTACGCCCGAGGAGCTGGCCGCCATGGATCAACTAACGCCTCCCTCAACTGCGCCGGCACGCGAATCGGCCACATGCAGCAGTGCAAGCATAAAGCCCTCCACATCCAACGCATCTCTGGAGCGGGACAAGACCACTAAGTTGAAGTAAGTGGGACTACTTAATGTGGAACGACACCACCTTCACTCTAATCAGAAAAATCACATTTTCCACCAGCACCACACTGGAGGCAATCAATGTGCCTATTGCGATGACAGCCAAGGACGCCTGTGTGGCTTCAGGTGCTCCACCTGATGGAGCTTCAATTTCCAAAGTTTGTCCTATGCGCCGCAGCACGTCGCCGCCGAACGTGCTAGGCACAGCGCCAGCCGCGGTGCAAGCGAGCAGCGGCAACAGCCGACCTGGTAGTAAGGATTCGATGTCATCTATCTCTCTGCATTCACCTCCACCACATCGTTCCAGCTCTGCGCCAGCCAGGTCAGACCTAGCAAAAAATTAAGTGGAGCTAATTAATCGAAATACGTACATTTTTGTTTTAGACCCCATTCCATGTCAAAGGCAGCGCGAAAAGCTTTCCTCGCTGCCAAGCAGACAAAGGCCATGGAGAAGCTGGATAAGATGATTGAGGAAGCGCAGGAAGTGGAGTCACAGTCGGTGGCCAAAGCGGCCAACGTGCGTCTTGCCATTTTTGGACATGACGGCGGTGGCGACGATCCGACTGCAGGCGGCTGTCCACTATTTCTGCCACCCCCACCTGCACAGTCACTGGGTCGCATGATGCCGAGCTCCATATCCGACTCGAGCATTTGTAATCATGGGTAAGCCACTATCTGACATGTGACATGTGCAGCAACAGCAAGAGCTTAGCCTCATGCAAATCTTTGCAGACATAGTCATGCGCCCAGCTGCCATCATTCGCTGCACGAGCCAAAGATGAGCAATAGCCAGAGTTTCCAGCACGCACGCAGATCGGGTCCCATTACTCACCAGTGCTGCAGCGGATTCGGAGGCCATGGCAACGGCAGACACTCGCATCGCATGCACTCCAATGCCTGCAACCTGCTGTAGACCTCTCGAACAGGGAAATCTCTGACTCCCCGTCATATCGTCTCTATGTCAATGTGCTTTTCTAGAGTATAGTCAGCAATTATAAGCTCTTAAACTATGGTTGGTTAACTGTTCATTCTCATACACGAGAGTATATACATACATATGTATGTATGTACATACATATATATCAAACTTTAAATATACATACATACATATGTATACATATACCTACTCTCGTTTATACTAGCTGCAGTATACATACATACATATAAACAAATATATAAATATATATTGTAATTTTAAATGACAATGAAATTAACTTTTCGTTTACAAAACATAGTTTTAATATAGTATAAAATTAAATGATTGATTTAAATGATTTAATTATAATAATTTTTAATTTCTGTTAAATTTACTGTAATATAACTTTATTTAAGCTATTTATTTTTGCGGTCAGAAACTTTTCGGGCTACTCTCACATACACACATATGTATATGTATTTAGTTTGTGTAAGGAATAAATATTAATACATATATAAATAACTGTAGCTAGTGAAAAGGCTTGTATGTCCATGTCTATTAAAAAAGCACTGTAGAAACTATTTAAATTCAATAGCTAAATACAGATTTGTAAATGTACCTTGATCAACGTTAAACACAAGATACAAATTTCTTAACCTCTTGAAAATGACAATACGAATAGAAGAAACAAAATATCAAACGAGATTTTTAAACTAAGGCTTCACACATCCCGATACCACCTGACACATATATTTACGTACACATAAAAGTGCTCAAATATACTGAAATCTGCATATATTTAAATAAATAAATTGATTGTATTGTATGAGTACTACGCGTCTTGAAGGTCAAGTAGTAATTGCTTTAGAAATACCAAAACTCTAACTCAATTGATTATTTTTCTAAAAATGCATATTTGTATTTCCAGAAATGAATACATTTAATTTCTGGATGGAGATAAAAGCCACGAATTGTACTTGCAATAATTCGAGCATACATATTTGAATAGAACACAAGGCAAGAGCAGCGCTAAATTTTGCTTAGTTATAATTGATAGGCAGATCTTAGCAATATATATTTATATATGTTAGGTCTAAAAGTTGAGATCCGGTTTGCATCTGAATTTGGTTTTCTATGTATCAACCCGAAACGAGACCATCTGAAGAATTACAATTAAATAAATGTCAATCGTACAACCTTAAAATACTTAGGAGAGAAGAAAAATATTGTATTGTACTTAAAGACGAATTCCACTGTTTGTTATGGATTTTAAATGCATACTATTTTAGAAATAGTTTCTCTGCTTACAATATAATAGTTATAAATATGAATTTTGAAGTTTGTTTGCTCTTAAATAATTATCAAAATGATTGTGTAAACCAAAGATCATAAAATGGTCACATATTACATATATATAATGTGCCTACTATATAATTTAGTATGTACTTTGTTTTAGTTGATAGAGCTGTCTACATTGCACTTTAGCATATCACATCTCAAATGATTGCAAGCATAAAAAAGCATGCAAAATGAATAACTAAAGTTAAAAATATATAGCTATGTATTTACTTCTGTGTAAACCACCTCACGTTGAACGTAGCAATTTTTTCAAAAGTGACTAGATGTTTTATGTGTACTGCGGTGGGTTTTACTGTTGCTTAAGCACTGTCAGTAGCGAGCATTTCATCATTGGAGTAGATGAGGGTGCCATCCAACAGTTCGATTGTCTGTATGGTGGTCTTGCAATAGAAGCACACTTTGGAGTTCATCATGTGCTGCATGATGCAGTCGCTGCAGGATTGATGCTTGCAGGGCGTAAACACGGCAGTGATTGGCTTGGCACAACAGATGGGACACAGCGAGTCCTCTGACGGCAGCGTTATATCTGAGAGCAGGCTCTGCTTGATGCGCAGACATTCGATTAGATGGCGAACATCCTCGATTTCTTCGTGGGAAACATGCGTCGGATCTAATAGGAATGAAGGGGTATTATATTAACGCTAAAAATATCTGTAAAGTGGGATCACAACTAACAGTCAGAGAGCGCAAACTTAATGATCGGTGGATCTGCGCGTATTCGCTTCGAGTTATTGAGATGGGGCAGGCGCACATCGTTGGTCAGCGGATCGATGTGTGGCCGCGACGATGGGTCGAAGTTGCCACGTGGTATCTCCTTTTGCTCCAACAGAGGCGTTCGTATCTCGCCCAGCGCAAACTCCAGCGTTGCGAATTGAAAACTGGGATCGGTGAGAAAGGCGCGCGATATGCGAGTCACCTTCTGTGGCGTCACATCACTGTCCAATTCACCGCGCAGCAGTGCCATCAGTATGCCCAGTGCGGCAGTAATTATCGGGAAGTGTGTGACGGCATTAAGATCCGCCGAGCACATATCCACCACAAATTGAAAGCAGCCAGGCGGGACGGTGACACGTGAGAGCACTTGACTGATTAACTGGCAAATACGATTCAATAGCAAGTCACTATTTGGGCGCGACTCGTCCGTCACAACGTCCGGCGCAACAGTTATTATCATTTCCAGGCAACGCATCAGCGAAACAGTAAGCTCAAAGCACATGGAGCAGATCTTTAATTGTTTCGGCTCAAAGAGCGTGTTCTCCTGCCGCTGCGCCGTATTTTGTATCTAGAGGAAATGAATGTGAATCTAATTATAAAAGAACATTTTTTATATGCCCAAAACTTTACCTCTTGCAACAGTAATATAAATTCAGAGAACGCCCAATTCAGCTGACTCAGCACCGAGTTCATAAAAGTCGTGGCAAACGGCTCGTCCTCATATAGCTTAGATCCAATTAGACGTTGAAAATGCTTTGAGGGATTTGCCGGCGCCACATTGTGCAGTAGTCCTGTATGCGTTTCGTTTCTCGAGCGACTTCGGCACAAGCCCTGGTGTAGGGGCTGCGAGCCACCTTGCCATACGCTGGGCTGGCGTGCATCCTTGAAAGCATAGCCCTCGCCTAACCAAAATCGCAGTAGCAGCCAATTGCTTTGTCCCCACGCACGATTCTCATATGGGCGCAGAAGAGCGCGCACTAAAGACGATTGAGCGCGCTTCGAGCTACGCTCTAGAGCACGTACGCCCGCTTTGTGGCAGGTGAGTGTGCCCAAAGCCTGCAACAGAGAGTCCTTGCACGATGCAAGCACAATTCGCGAATCCGCCGAATGAATTGCCAAGAACTCTGCCGCCGAATTCAAACTGCACTCGGCATCCGATACCTCAAACTGTGTACACATATCGTGATGACTGAAGTCCATTACGCTGTCCAACAAAATAGGCAAGGTATTTATATAAACCTCTGGCACAAACGCAAAGAGTGAACCCACGCTCGATGCGCTCTGTAAACAAATACATTTAAATTTAATAAATAAAATGCAATTTACATGAGCTGCCTACCGATAATGAGCGCAAAACTCGTTCCAAGAGCCATATCAACAACAATCGTCGGTGATTATTTAGGGCAACTGCTCGAAGCCAAACTTGTTTCCGTGCAAGAGATATGGAGCGTGTCTGTGGGTAGAAATTGTTAGTTAATTGATAAATGAACACTTTGGGCGCTCCAATCAAATATCCCTCAATATTATTCTACAATCATGAATGAAGTATTCTTAGTAAATTAACCCACCGCAAACACATTTTGCCGCTGACTGAATTTGGAACGTAGCTCGGACATCACATGCTGATGATTCTCATTCATGCAGACACTCGTATGCTGCTCAAGTGCTAGCAGCCGACGCTCAATATCTTCGCGATAGTATTTGGTCTCTTTGAGCACCTCGTTGAGTGTGGCTATTTCATCCCGTACAGACGCTATCTTAACAATGTATTTGTGTCCTGCGGAATAGTAGAAGAGCACGCAAATGTCTAGCAGCTCACACAGACTCGCTTCGGAAGCCAAGTTGCCGGGGCCTGCATCCGTAGTTTGGGGTGTGCGGGGATTTAGGAAATGGGTGAAGGTTGAATTATTGGCACCTTGTGTGTGTCCAATGACCGCAACATTGTTAATATTCTCGCCTAGTAGGTAGAGCGTAGTATCTGAAAACGTTGTATATCATCAAAATGGAAAGTAAATCCAATGCACACATCATACATACCCACTTCGTTAACTCTCACGGAGTTGCGATCTTCGTCATAGATTTGCTGACTGCGCTCTGTGCCCAGATACGTGTCAATGTCCGATCTGTGGACCTTACGCAGATGCGACAAGACGCCGCCGACGCGATCGAAGTGCATATAATCAAATGTGCCATCAATAAAGTAATCGACATTCACTTCCATTGTGTGAGTGGGCAGCTCTTCCTTGAACAGAGAGCGCACCTGATCGATTAGAATGCAGACAAAAGCCAGAGCCACCGGCGAGTCCAGCGGATGCTGTATGCTGGACTGCATGAAGAAAAAGGCATGGAATGGCTGCAAACAACTCACAACAATTAGTTCACTTAAAGTGGCTGCAAACGTCAACTTCTTACCCGCTGCTCCATACTTAGGTCTATTACATAACGTCGCATTTTGCTTAGAAACAGCTTCCGACTAGAAGGCGAATCAGGTCCCCCATCTGAGTTTATCATCAACGTGTTGAGCAGGTCCTTTTGAGCCGCGTATAGGTTTTCTGTGAGCTTGCGTACCTTTTCCACAGCATTTAAATACTTATCCTTAGGTCCATCGATTCCCTCCGTCCAGGTCATATAGTCGGGCAGTAGTTCTTCCATAATATAAAACTCCAGCGGATGTATGTACAAAAAGAAGGCAAGGCTAGATTATATGAACACAATTTAATTATTAAATTAATTTTAATAATTTCAATTTATAATGAAACTAAAATAAAACAAAAAAAGGCTCTACTCGAGACTACCCGACCAGGGTGCAGTGTAGGTTCCAGTCGGCGAAATTATTAAAATTTATTTGTAAAATAATTACTTTTGTAGTCGAAATATCTTCATCTATCTTCATCTTTTAGATTACGTGATTATTATGTTCAAATGCTTGTACATAATTTTCACAAAACCATGATACCCTGATTTCCCAGGGTAAAAAATAAAAAATAAAACTAATAAATTATTTAACATAAAAAATCTATTTGTAATTACAAAATTATTTCTCTTTACC